ACATTGCATAAAAATAATTTTATATTGTCAAATATGTACAATATAAAACCTTTAAAATAAGGGTTTTAACTACAAGTAACACTCAAAAATGGGGAAATGTCCTAATTCAAAAAGGAAAGGTACAGTACCACAAGATCTCAGAGATATGAGCATAACAGCAGATCAACTCAATTAATATTTAATTTGTAATACAGATGATAAAATTTATCATTAGCACCTAGCAAGATAATGAATACTGTCATATCACAAGCCCATTAAAAAAATTCACAGCAAAAAAGGTAAATGATTTCTAGCTGGACTTTTCTCCTTGTATTTTATATGAGGAAACCTCTTAAAACTATGTAATTTAGAAATTATCACAGACATAAGGTTTTTCTGTGTGTCTTAAGCAAATAGGTTAAGTCATTTTTGTGGCATAAAAGAATCATATCAGTAATGAAAGAACACTTCTACTTTTTAAATAAATAAAAATATAATTAAAATTAAATACTCGATATCCAATTCTCAATTCAAAACACATTTCCTTCAATAAATACACGCACATACAAGCATTCACACACAAGATCTGATTTAAATTATTTGACGTCTTCTTTAACCAGTAATTCCTTCAGCTGTTCTTTCTCAAATGAACATAAGTACAAAATTCCTTTTAAAAAGCAGCTCTTCCTATTTGTTTCAAACAATACTTCTGACAGGTATTCTATACTTACACAATATCTTAGCCAGAAAGTTGTTTTACATCAAGCAGATTTACAACTAAGATAAAGTCTAAAGGTATTTGAATAAGTAAGTTTTATTAAGCAGAGGGTTAGCAAATCACATGGGAACACTGCAGAGTCTAACCTGCCTACAAGAACTGTTCTTACGTGAGCTTTCCACAAGTAAAGCATTAGAGAGGCCAAGAAGAGACAGGGACAGTTTCATTTCACTTTCAGTTACATGCAAATTTTGCTTTATTAGTAAACCTGACTGATGTTAAAGCAGAATTTGCTACAAGTAGGTCTACAGTCTACAAACAAAACTCCACTTTGAAGACCAAACAGTGCTGAGCCCTTTGGGTGCTACTGTTTTATTAAGGAGCTCTGTTCAGGGCAGGACCCACTTTAGAGTTACAGCAGCTGGAACATCCTCCAGGGTATTTGCAAACTTCCAACATGGTGCTCATCTAGACAGGTCTGGACAAATTAATCTTGCCAGATTAATTCAGCCGAAAGTGACGGAAATAGGCAACTGCTGCTCAGAGTACAAAGGCAGGCATCATTGTGGGTACCCTATTAGGCATAAAATTGATCACACACTGAAAGAAAAAATCACCCTGAGCCTTCAGGAGATACCCAACTAACAAGTTTGAGAAGGTTATAGTAGAGTGGGCATGGCAGACGTTTCCTCTGAAGAAAAAGAAGAGTAACAATGTTAATTACTGCCTTCCTTCTAGCAAATATTGAACCTTTGACCTAAGATAAGAAAATAGGTGTTCAGTTGCTCCAGAAACAAGTGCAGAGTTTCTTCTATCTGCAAGAAGTAATCTGAAAGACTGCATTGCACTGAAAATCCGAGTAACTTAATCCACCCCTTAATTCAACTCTCAGCTAAGTTTTCTGGTTAGTAAATAAGAAAACGTTTTGTCTTTTTTCTGTTGACTAGGTTTTGCCATGTTTAAAAGTATTGAAATCTCCTTACAGCATGTCCACTTGTAACAGTTACTGGTCATCTAAGATTAGTGAGCCTTACCTCAAAAAATACCTTGAATTATAAGTTCTCCAAGATAAAGGGGAACCAAAGTCATAAGGTAATTCTTAAAAGATACTTTGTGTTTTTATCATATATTCCTACAGTCAGTCCATACACACAGACATAATAACCAAATGTCACCCTTAAGACATAATCAGCAAAGTGAAGGAGTCAAAATAAGTGGGCTCTGTGGGATCGATTTTGACTGAAGAAAATATGACAGGATAAAACTAAATACCTGAGCCTACTGATCAATCCTGTTTCTCTGCTCTGTGAATTGGAGTTTGCCTGTTAGCTTTTCTATTTACTAACACAGGTGCCCACCAAAACTGCTTTAAAAATAAATAAATAACAATGGATTGTTTTGGAAGCCTATATACACTACAGAAAACTAGAAAAACATCCAGACTTGTTTCCACTCAAATAGCTGATCTCGCGCCAGAACCATGCTTCCTAAAAATGAAGAGCACTGAACAAAATAAATGCAGCTGATGGGATGCCAACATAAAACCCAGGCAAAAATATTACAGAGAAAAAGGGCAACTTTAAAAGAAAAAAACTGGACCACCTTAGCATGCTGATATAATAATCCAGTTTTTATGATATGTGACTTTCTCAGAAAAACCATCCCATTAAGGAGGCCAGAAGAACAGGGAAAGGAAATTAAGAAGCAATGGAGCTGGTGAGGGCTCCAGGGAAGGGGAGAGAACTAAGCAGGACCTCAGGGAAGGGGAACTGAAGCTTGGGTTAAACCTGAAAGGAATTAACTCAAAAGAGAATCCCATTAGATTTAAGAAAGACACCAATACCTTTCAACAAGTATGATAAAAAAGAAATGCTACTACTTTTCCCTAGAGAATTAGGAACAAGAGAAATGAGGGCTCAGTTCCCTGCTTCTTCCATAGTGGGAGCTGGCATCTTATGACTTCCAGCAGGCAGTTTGCAACATGGATCCACAGAAATTTCTAGGCACCATAGCTAATCTACCAATAGTGCAGCAAGGGAGTACACAGGGCAAGTGAAACCGGAGTCCACAGTTCTTGATTCAACTGTTTACTAAGCAGAAAGATCGATATAGTTGGTCCTTCGTCTACCACTGGCAAATGGTTTTTGTATACTTTATTACAAATAAAACAATCTTACAAACATATAACTAAACAGTCTTAAAGTAATATTATATCTCTAGGAACTGAGCTTTTCTTAAAAACAAAAAAATGAACTATACTATTAATAAATCCTGTATCTAAATTTATACAGCATCTTGAAGTAATGTGGAAATGAAATTATTTATTAATTTACATAAAAATTACTTTATACATTAAAGAATAAGTTTTCAAATTGTTAGAAAACAAAGTCTGAAGCTATCATTATTGGGATTCATGGCATGTGGTTTGCTCTTCTATCACTTGCTTCACAATTTCTGCCAGTTTTAGTCGATCTACTTTATCTGTGAATCCACGACCTAAAACCCAAAAAAGAAAAAGGTCAGTCTCCAAACTGTTTGGAGGTGATAGGTTCTAGACAGGGACCCAGTAAGGTACATCTTACCAGTACCAAATTTACCCTCACTTGTGGAGGAACCATTCCCAACACTGATCAAAAGCAGTTCAGATCCCTCATATTTTAGTAGCAATTAAGCAGTTCCATTAACCTGGCAGCAAAAATCCAATGTTCCCTACAACAGCACAGAAGGAAAACACGGAGAGGGAATGATCTTTGTAATACATTTGTCTGATAAAGGACACATATCTGGAATATATAAAGAACTCATATACACGTATAAGAAAGATACAACTCAATTAAAAAAATCGGCAAAAGAATAGGCACTTCACAAAAGAGGAAATCTAAATGGCCAATAGATATTTTAAAAGTGCTCAATCTCCTAAGTCATCAAGGAAAACCAAAGTAAAATAACAATGCAATGCCAGTACATCCTAACCAGAAAGACCAAAATAAAAAAATTAGACAACAGCAAGTGTTGAAGTGGATGTAGAGTAACTAGAACCCTCAAACTCTGTGAGGGGAAGTACCAATCAGTACAACCGCTTTGGGAAACTGCTAGCAGTACCTGCTAAAGTCAGAGGAAAATCCCCATGAACTAGCAGTTCCAATCCTAGATACCTACAAGAAATTAGGTCAACAAAATATTCATCAAAAGATATACACAAGAGCTTTCACTGCTACCCTTGTGTTCATTAACAAAACCTGGAAACAACCCAAATGTCCATTCATCTGCAGAATGGAGAGAGTATTCATATAAAAAGAGAATAGATAGAAAGAATGGAAGTGTTTTGCTGCTACACCCAACGATATGCTGAATCTCACTAATACAATGTTGACTAAAAGAAGCCAGCCACAAAAGAACACAGACTTGTCTGATTCATTTATATAAAATACAGAAACCAGGCTAAACTAGTTTATAATGCTAGAAGTCAGGATCATCATTACCCCGAGGAGAGAGAGGCAGTGATTAGAAGAGGGCCTGCCTTCTACTACATGTTCCAGGTGCAAGTTAGAGGGGATTGTTTACTTTGTGAAAATTCATTGGACGTCTGCACTTCAAATGAGATCATTTTTCTGTATTGGTATTTCAAAATCTTTATTAAAAAAATCCCAGGGAAGCTAATTTCCTTGGCCCAGCTAGCACTTTGGATTTCTCAAGTCCAAGAACCAAGCCAGCCAGTGAAGTCTAAGAGTTTGGTGCCTTCCCTAAGCATCCTGGAACATAGTCTAGTTGAGTCTAATGAACTTAGAAAGGCAATACAAAAAGCAGTTCAAGAAATACATGGCTTCCTTTTTAGCCTAGGGAAAAAAATTCAACAAGCAGCAGTTTTGGTAAACTCTACTCTCTAGTGAAAAAGCTCTTCCCAAACCTCAGCACAGTAGACAGTGGACTCCCTGGTACTTTGCTCTCCTTCTCCCCTTAAGAGTATGCAACTCCTCAATGACCTGCTGAACAGTCCAAGTATCCGTGAGGAAGTTTGAGAGCTGAGGGATTTTTTGCCCAACTAGTATGTGATGGGGACTCTGCAATATTGAATCTGCAACAAACAATTTATTTGAACTCTGGAAAACAGGTGAAAAGATTGGATGTCCAGATATGCCTATGCTGTTAATGCAGCATTCACCACCCTGTCCCACAATATTCCACCCGCTGTCTAGCCTCACTTCACCTGAACACAGCCCCACCTTGGCCCTCATATTGCCTCTACACTCTAAGCATAAGTCACATCTCTGTTCCTGGAGAAAGAAGCAAGTAAGGCCCCTACCGTTCCAGCTGAAGCTTTGCAGAGTGTCTCTTAGCAGTTTGCATTCCCGGTTATACTTCCAAGCTTCCTGCATTACTTCATTCAGCTTTTCATCTTCATTCTCTCCTATTGATAAAGATGAAGAAGTTACTTTTTCCTGTAGCGTAATGGGATTTTAGTGTCAGGGATGGAAGGACGTGATGTTCAACTTGTTGAGAAGTGATGATTTAAAGGTGCAAACTTTACCAGACACTGTTGTTACTGTGAGTCCCTCCATTACACAGAGAGCACCTCTGGTCTTTGAACGCTTCTACTCTGACAGCCTCACACAAATCCTCTGACAGTCCCAGAGTCAGGGATAGAAAGCACATAGTGTCAGAGTCTCTTGCTGAGCAAAAACACCTGGTTAATGTAAGCGCGGAAGAAACAATAAGACTGAGAGGGCTACTTTGTTTCTCCTAAGCTCATTCCTTACTTTGGAAGGCTATCTGAGGCACACTTTGTGAGCTCTCTTAAAACCCAAGGAATGTAGAAAAACGGTCAACCCAACAGTCTTCTAGCCTGCTATTGAAGCATCTTATTCATCTGCTGAGAAAAGCCCATCCCACCCAGGGAGTGGAGAGAGAACACATTAAAAGAAAGCTCTCACTCAGAAGGACCCATGTGTAAGTCACACTCCACCCAGGACACAAGTAGCAGCAGGCGCCACTTCTGAATTTGAGAGGTGTTCTTTTTATGGTCACAAGTTAATGTCAGCCTTGCACTTCCAAAGCCCTGGAAATGATGTTTCCTAATCTCCTCACCTGATCCTAACCCGATCTACATTTTCCATTCTTCATCCTCTATCCTGTGCCCTTGTTAACAAACTAAGAAAACACAAAATTATGTGCTACACCTGACACTGGATATTAAACCTAAATAAGAAATTTCACAGAAAACCAAAGGAGGGGTAGAACTTAGCACATTTCTGAGTTCCCATTGTGCACTTTCAAGGGGGCACAGACTAATGTATGTAATGTACTTATTTTCTTATAACACAAAGTGAAACAGACAACCTCAAGTTAATCCACTCCTTTTGTCATGTGAACACACACACACACACACACACACACACACAGATGCACACAGAACATTCGTGAATGGTGTGACCTTTACCAGCCTGGGGGAGAATACACTGAGCAATCACATCTCGCAGCTTTTCCAAGGCAACATTTGAATCCTCAGCTCCATTCTCACGATCATGGATATAAACACCATCCTTTGGCTTGGTGCTTTAAAAGTTTGGGAGAGAGGTAATAACAAGGTGAGATCCCCAAAACTCAACTCTCAACAGATGTTAACTCTAAACATAAGACAACAGATTTTTCAGATAAATAATAAACTATAGAGTAACTCCAACTCACAATGCTATTTAAAGAGCTTATCCTTTCCACCCTCTTAAGAGACAGAAAAGGGGGAGACCCCTGGCTGACCTTTAAGAACCCTGCACTCAGCCACTTCAACCATGGAGAACTGATGAAGAATTACCCGAGTAATTTCCTCTTCCTCAGAATGGGGTTGTTCACAGAGTGCAGGGGTTTGAGGCTGACTTTCAGATCTTGGATTCTCATGTTAGCCAACTGCTCCGCGTGAGCCTGCTGGATTCCTGCAACCAGTGCCTGAATACAAACACTGTCATCAGTTTCTCACATTAATTTATAGGCACCTAAAAAGCCAATCTGAGAGAATGGGAAGAAGCTCAAAGAACTAAGAAGGCAATTTCACTCTTATGCTGGCAGTATACAACTTTTGATAAATCAGAGGACTCTTCCCCATGGATCAGTAAGGGAATACTGGGCCAACCAAGGGCCACACAACCACTAGCCCTTCTTCACTGCAGGGGGACAAAAATACAAGAAATAGTAACAAGGCTCATGCTCACAAGTGCAAAGAGAGGCATATATGAACGTCAGGGGAAAGGCTAGCTGGCTGCTGCCTGAGAAGCTCCCAGACTGGCACTGATTCACTGTCTCCACAGTATAGACAGTCACCCTCAGCCCTGATGGTTCAGAACCCCAACCATCTCACACAGTGAGCATAATAGACCCTCACAAACTGATCTATAAGCCAGTCAATTAATTTACATTAATTAATGTCATGGAGTCTATAACTCGAAGTCTGTGTCTTTATGACCAGTATGTGTTTTCACTATGGGCAGACTATTTAGGGAAGGCAAATAACCAGAAAGCTTTGTAAGAACAAGATGATCCCATTTTTGTATTTAAAAAAGTACACACTCTCTGTGTGTGTGTCTCCCCAGAAAAAGATTGAGAAAGATACCTCAAGCCATTGATTACTTAACTTCTGAGGGGTGAACCGGAGGCAGGGTAATGGAAGGGAACTTTCGCTTTTTATTTTATGTATCTCTGTATGTTTAAATATCAACAAAAGCGTTTGACAACTTAAAAAAGTGAGATCAGAAAGAATTTGAACACATTTAAGAGAACAGTAATAGCTGGTCTGGCTACACCCACCTGGACCCTCACATCTATCTCCTCATCAGTGATGACCCCACCAAAAACATGGGGGCAGCTCAAGTTCACGAGCTGGGCTCCACCACCTAGGCAGGGCTTAGACGGACACTACTGAACATCAGCATATATGATAGTTTTTGTACTCTTCCAAAGTTGACCAGCCCACACCATTTCTCTAAAAATAGGAATACACCATCACATTGCAGTTCCCTCTTAGTGGCGTAGCAGCCACTCCTTCTCATTAAGAACAGTCTGCATTCCATATTTGGCTTCATTATGCAGTCATTTTAAAGTAACTTCAGAAGGCAATCTTAGTTCTTCATTTCCAAGATCTTGAGGAAGCCACACTATAACCTCCGTGTGCTGACAACCACAGGATCTAAGTAATTCCTTTGGGTTTGGGCCTGACGGAACCATTTCTGGACTTCTGAGCATACTGAAACCAGGAAGACAACTGCACACAAATCAAAGATGGCAAAGCACTCCCTTCCAGCTGCCTGCTCTCTCCTCTACCCCAGGTGAACGAAGGGGCACTGAGTCAGTGATCCAACGGAGATTGCAGCATCCTTTTTACCCATGTGCTTACTCTTTCTCACACTTCAACTCCACCCCTTCTCAGTCGTAACACTCAAGTCTTTGTCACTGCCTTTTGCCTCTCCTTCAGCCACTCTGATACTAGACCACACCTCATTCATCTGAATGTCCGCCTACACTTTACACAACATGTAAAACCCAAACCAGCCTCATTCTTGATTTCCTCTGTCAATGGTATCACCAAATATGCCAACCACTGTCCCCTTGTATCTATTCAGTCATCAAAAACTGCAGAAATCTGTCTTCAAAAATATTGAGCTTGTTCATTCAGCTCTATTTCAACTCCTAGAGCTGCCCCTCAGCTTCTGGATTACTGTAGGAGTCTGAGTTTGGCGAGCCTGCAAGTCTAGCTAACTCTCTCTAAATACCTTCCCTGTGGCAAATCTCTTCTCAAAAATTGAAATGGCCTCTCAATGACTTCCTACTAAGACTTAAAGCCCTCTGTCTACTTTCAAAGTCTGGCCCTGCCACACATATCCCATCAACTTCCCACTAACCGTGCCAGGCTTGCTTTTCCCACTGGTGAATTTTGGTCTCTCATGTTTTGTTCGCACTATGCACCACACTTAGGCACTTACATTGTCTACTCAGCTTTTTCAGTGCCAGCTCATGGCTTAACATGTGAAGGGGTTAAAAATTGCCACATAGTAGATAATAAATGTGAGGGGTTTTTGCCTTTTTTTCCGGAACCCTCCCCTAAACACAACCCTTCAAAAGTGTTCTTTTTTTTGAATTCCCATAGGATTCACAGAGAATTTAGCATACAGAGTTCTAATGTCTGAAAATGTTCCCTCCTTTTTTCATGTTCATTGGTTTTTCCAACCAGTCCTGTTTAAAACCCCTTGGGGAAAGTGAAGGTATCTTACAGTGCTCTGTGTCCCCAACCCCATAGCATAAATATGGAGGACTTCCTTTGAGTGTTCCCTTAGTGTGTATTTATTGGGCCTTGATCTGGTCTTTCATGGAAAGAAGCTCTTTGTTTCTGATCCTAATTTTCAGGAAACCAGAGATGTTTCTCTAGGAAGAACTGTGTGCTCTGCATTGTTTTCCCTTTAAGCCCTCGCTGACTCAATCCCCAGCAGTCCTTCTCAACACAGCCTTTTTGGCCAAAAAAATAAGGATCATTCAAAACCTTATCCATCATCAGTTGCGCAGAGGGTAGCACATTATCCAGTGCCTCAGTGGAGTTGAGCCAGGGGTGATCCAACACTCCCTCGATGGTAAGTCTTTCTTCTGGTTTAACCTTCAAGAGCCTGTGGGGAAAAGCCAACAGGGCTGCTGTGCACAGTTGTTTCAAGAAGGCCAGGAAGTTCCTGGGTCTGGCTCTAACCAACTCCAGCTTCTGACTTTCTACCAACTCCTACAAGCCTAGGCGTCCCATATGCAGGGCAGGGGTGGGGTTCCAGTCCCTAACCTCTGTTGTGTGGGCACTGTGTTCTTAGGCCATCCTTTCTATACAAGACAAAGGGAGATAAAGATGGTAGGGAAAGGCTTAATCCAGTGATATTTCAGACTGAGTTCTAGGTTTAGTGAGGTAATCCTACATATGGTTTACAATTACTGAGATCTTGAATCTCCGTACTGACTTTTCTAGAACAATGGGCTTTAATTTCCAAAAGGGACTCCGAGTGCTCTTTTGGTTGATACTGGCTGCATAATTAGTTGAGGGGTCATGCAGTTCTCAGAATACAGGTTGCTACTTGAGATAAAACTTTTAGATGTCACCACATGGCAGGACATGAACCCTGTATTCCAGAAACACTCAAAAACTAAAAATCTAGAGTCTCTGAGAACAGCATTTCCTTTTAAGCTTAATATACTGCTCTGTACCACCTGCTTTGCAATCATACTTCTTTACATCTTGTCCATTCATGCTGATGCAATTCCTAGGTCACCTCAGCATGTTCTCTGGGCTTTTTACAGCACCTCCTTCCAAGTACAGATCCTCCCATTCCAAACGTCAGCCAGGACAACATGCCTACATGCTCTTTCAGGTTCTCTGCAACCTTCTGGGCCGTTCTGAACAGCTTCAGATTCTAAAGAAAGGATTATTTAGAAAAGAATTCCAAAGCTGAAAGAAGGTAATAAATGTTACACTAGGGACAGGAAATATATTCTACAGAACTGACAAAGAACTACATAAAGGATGTTGATGTTTTGTTAAGTGGCTAAGGATACAGCATGGAAACAGCAAGGGAAGACTGATGATGATTTAATTTAAACATTGCCTCCACCTTCCTAAAAACTTTTTACTTGTATACTTTAGAAACTAGTCCCTCTTTGTATTCATAGACCCCCTAACCAACAAGACAAGTTAACTTCTGAAAGCGAGTAATCTCCATTGAGAGATAGCCGTACTGTCAGGAAACAGCTCCCTGTTGCTGCGTCTTTAAATGCTTATCTTCATGGCATTATAGATGAAGAAATTAAAACAAAGAAAGGAGAAACTGCTCAGTGAAGACCAAGCAGTAGGAGTACCGAGCAACGTCCAACTCCCAGGCAGCCAAGCCTCCCACACAGAAGACCAGAAAAAGCAAATACACTTCAGATTTAGGTCTGCTTCTTACCTAGTCCTCCAGCTACCAAAGGACCTTGAACGCCAACTGTCCCTCACCCACGCACTAGCCCTACTTCTTCTCAATCTTCTCATCTTAATGTACATCAGAGCAACCACCTAGCAGTGGAAAAGCTGGAGGGTGGGGTCCAGGGCACGCACAATCGATCATACCACCCGCAGCAGTCAAGGAATGAAAAGACTAAAGTGTCAACTCAGCACCTGAGTTGAGTTCCTGCCCTCTGTCTGTCCCAAGTGACTGGCTTATGTGCAAGAAGGGCACACCTGGGAAACAAGTGACTCTTTTCTACCCAACATTCTCTTGTGCTCCACTGCCTTGGTGTCTCCTTGGCCTCCCCACCCAGCAGCCTGGGGACTCACTTCCTTACAACATCTTTGGCCATCTCTGAGATCTGGCTCCACTCTTCCTCTGGGAACTCAAAACTGCCTGTCATGATCTTTCTCCGCATGTCCTTTGGGATAGTCCGGCTGTGATGTTTGGAGTAAAAAGGAGGGTATCCGCACAACATCACGTAGATAATCACCCCTAACGACCACAAGTCACAGCTCTGAAAGCAAAAAGAAAATGGTCACTCATAGCAGAGGCACGGCTCCAAAATAAAGCCCCCAGGACCAGCCCAGAAACAGCACCTGGCATATACAGGCTGGTATCTCCAAGAATCACATAACAGACACTGCAAACATTTCAAGAAGTCTTAAGAGAATTAACCTTTCTCTCCATATTTTTATATGTCACCAACACTACATATATACATACCAGCACTCAAGGCCAGTCTGGAGCAAAACACACAATCAGTTTTATTCTCACTACTTAGGCACGAGCTGCTATCTGACCCTTGGGTACAGGTAGAAGATACTTTGTCCCCAGTCAGAAAAGTAACAGATAGAAGGCAGCCAGTTGTGAAGCATGTACTCTGTCAACCTGGGCAGGGTTGAGGGTGCAGAAACAAGGCAGCTAAGGCACAGGTAGGCTGAAACCATAATAAACACATAGTTTCATAAAAGCCCAAAGCAGTTTGACACAGATCAGGTAGAGGCATTGGAGGGAAGAACAGCAGGGCCAAAAGCATTCCTTTGGCCACAAAGGACTCAGTGTCACTGCGTCCATTTGCAAGACTACACAATTATTGGGGAAGATATTCTGAAAGAAAACTGCCACCAACCAACATGTCTTAAGGTATTAAGGTGATTCCATGGCCTGTAGTCACATCATTATTATTAATATCAGACTCCTATGTGAGTTAAATGCAGCTCCACCTGCCATGGAAACTGGGTCCTTGAGGCTTCAAGTCAAGCCTCTCTTGAATTGCAGGACAAAAGTGGTGTCCACCTGAGGAAAGGCAGCCCCAGGAGCCTGCTACCATAGCCACACCCCCTCACACCACAGCTGGGAAAATGGGGTATCTCAGGTACTACCACCCATGCTTTGGCATCATACCTATGGCTGTTTGTAGATGACATGACCCATGCATAGAACACAACTACAAAATTATAGAGGGGAAAAGGAATCTTATAGATGGTTCAGATCACTCACTTTATACATGCGAAAACTGATATTACAGAGATCTTGTTTTCTCTAAGGTCCTCTGTTAAAAGTGAAACTAAGTGAGATAACCAATATCACACAGCTGAATAGTGGTGGAGCCAGAGCAAGTTTTGCAGCCTGCTGCCTCTTTTCTTAATTAAGCTTGATATACTTATTTAATTTAAAAAATTTAATTATATCTTATTACATGTTTTTGTTAAAAAAATGCAGGTAGCATTCAGTGTTCATTTAGTTGCCAATATAAAGATTATATCTAGACCAACATATGTACACATTCAAAAATTGTATGAACCGTTTATTTTTTCAACATGCTACTCATCTGCAGTCTGTCATTTTTATGAATGCTAATTCATGAGCACTGCTATATTCACAAAGCAAAACAGGAAGAGAAGGAAAGACAGTACCAGGGAGATAATAAATCACCCCAGAACCCACTGCATTCATGCTGAGATGATTTTAGCAAATAAATTGGCCTGTCTGTTATCTAAGTGCTTGTACCACTCAATTCTTGCCTGCACTGAGAAGCAGGAAGCAGTTTCTGACTCTGATGCTGTAATGAGCAGCCCTCAAATCTGCACCACATAAGGGCAGAGCTGCCTGTTTTTTTTGAGTTTGTAGGGCAAGAAGGTACAAAGCAGTGATTACCTATGGGCCAAACAGTGCTAGTCACAAAAGCAGGAAGCCACACTGTGTCAGTGCCAAGGGCAGGGTCCTGAGGGGCAGAGGAGCTTGCATGTTCTCTGACAGGCATGCCTCTGTGCACTTGTGCATGTGCATTAGTCATATGTGGGGCACTCTGAAGTGTGGGACCCAAGAGGAGCTGACGTACTGCCTTTTCACCATCTTCAGCTCCCTCTGTCATCTATATCCAGACGTAAGTCCCCAGGCAGCACTGTTTTCCTCTGATCTACTCAGCAACCCCAGGACCTCCAGGACCCAGTTCAAGAGATCCTAATCCTCTGGTGCTTTAGAACAGAGATGCTTGATGTATAGATACAGATTAAGAGCCGTGACAGGACCAGGTAACACTTAGGGGCACTTTCTATGTATGCTAGACACTGTTCCAAGTTGGGTATTTTATGGTGTAAGAAAAGAATGGTGTCATAAATGGCCATAGAATGGTCTCAGAAATGGCCTCCACCTCAAAGAAGCAAGACAATCATGTCTTAAATGTAGTTGATGAACTGTACAGCTAGCCAAGCAACCTACAGGTGACCACAGCCCTTGGTTCCTGCTGCAAAACCTCGACTGGTAAGAATCTTATTTGATATTTCATCAGACAAAAACTTGAATTCCAAATACTCTTCTGCATATGTGGCTGCTTCCAGCCTTTTAGGCAGGACTATTTAGGGATAAGAACATAATCAGCCATATTAACCATAGGGCCAGAAACATTTCATAGAAGAGGGCCTACACCCAAGGAGTAAAGATAAGTATCTCTTCCCTTACCTTGTTGTAAGTGTAGGGTGTTGGCGAGGTAGGTATGATGCCAGATTTCTCCTTCTGATGCCTTCTCTGTGCCTCCAGTACCTATCAGAGTCAGACCAAAAGGGACAATTTACTGAAAACCACACCAACAACCTGCAACTCGAGACAGACTGTTGAAAGGCTGAAGAGAGTAGACACTGGCAGTCAAAAACAACAAAAAATTCCGTAATACTTTCAAAAACCTTTTTTCCTGTTTACAGCCAGCAATTTATCAATGTTTTCCCAGGTGAAGGACATTAAAATCAAGTCCCTGGAGATTTATTTCTTCTTGAGACATCTGAACCACTGACTTTTTCCTGGGGATGTCCCTTCTGGCTGTGTAAGCCCAGTGCTGGCCAGAGGGTCAGGTTCCAGATACTTGTCGCCACTGGGGACTGTCACAATCACAGTGGTCTGGGTGTTCAGTGCTCCAAGGAGGTAAGAGCCGGCATCCGCGAGACCACCATCCAGGACAAGTTCTTCCTTGTTCTGTGCAGCGGCACTCTTGGGAGAACAAGAATGGCAAACCACACGGGCTCCCTGCAAGGTGCCAGGATGCTGTGGCTCCGCGCTGGTGCGCTCCACCCTCACATCTGGACTAATGCTTTGGTCTTGGCCAGGTGCCCACAAGCCTGCTGCTGCCAGGAGCTGACAATGGCTGCACCTCAGCCAGGGGCTGCACAGCCACCTCAGGCAACTATGCCAAAGCACCTTTGATGTCTTCTCCGAGACCGACAGCCACCTTCCCCGACGTCTGGCAGGAGACTGTGCTCACCAATCTCCCTACCAGGATTTCCCTGACCACCTTGTAAAGACCCCCACCAAAGCCTCTGTGCACAGGACCCAGGCTGCAGCTGCGGCCACCACATGGTGTTTTCACACAAGAAGAGTAAAGTGAATTAATGAAACCTGAAAAAGTAACCACTTATGACAACATAAAAAATAGCAAGAATAGATCTAACAAAAGACATGAAAACCTGTGCACTGAAAACTACACAAACATTGCTGAACAAAATCAAAGACAAAAACAAGCAAAGCAATATGGCTTCCCCATGAGTCAGAAGGCTCAATATTGTTCAGGTATCAGTGCTCGTGTATGAGCCATGCCTCTAAAATAACCCTAGTCAAAACTTCAGCAGGCTTTTTTGTAGAAATCAATAGCTGATTCTAAAGTTCATATGGAAATGCAAAGAAATTAGAATAGCCAAAACAACTATGAAGAAAAACAAAGTTGGAGACTAACACTACCTTATTTCAAAAATTATAAAGCTACAGTAATTAAGACAGTATGGTATTGGTGGGAAGTTAGACAAAGAGATCAATAGAATAGAATGGAAAATCCAAAAACAAACCCACACATATACAGTCAACTGATTTTTGACAAAGACTCAAAAGCAATGTGATAGAGTTAAGAAAAAATTAGTAAAAACGGGCTTAGAAATGACAGAGATCATGCAATCAGCAGATAATGATTAAACTAAGTTACTGAATATGTTGAGGTACTTTAAGGTAACCATGAATAAAATGAGAAGAGAAACAGACAATATAAATCTGAAATGAAGAAATTCAAATTAGTGCAGAAGAGAAGAGTAGTGAAATTGAAAGCCTAGCAGCAGAACAGAGCCAAAGTGAAACACAGATAGGAAAAGATACAAGAAAAAGACCAGAATCTCAATGCTCTGTGTATGATTTAAAATATCCGTAACTGGAATTCCAGAAAAAAGGCAGAGAAGACAAGCAGAAAAATATTTGAAGACATGTCTGAAAATTTTCCAGAATTTCCCTGAATTGATAAACACCATAGACTGACAGATCCAAAGAGCTCAACAAACTCCTGGCAGGAAAAACAAACACCCACTCATAACCAAACTGCTGTGACTTCTGTTTCTAAGATGTAAAAGCCTGGAAAGAGTGTCATACCCACCCTATCAGCAAGAAAAGATTGGATAAATTACAAAATCAGAGACCAGAGGACCCAAGGCAACAAAGTATTCTGCAACCTAAAGAAATACAGGCCCTTCCAAGAAGAGACAGCTGTGAGGATTGGCTCATTTGTGGCAGAGCCCAGGAGGAAACACTATAGGCTCGAACCTACGTAGAAAATTTTAACAAATCTACAACCTACTAATTGTGAATTTAGCAAGGTCCTATGACATAGAGAACAGAAATCATTTACATTTCTGCAAATAGCAACAAACAGAAAATGAAATTTTTAAAAATATCATTTCCAATCACATTCAAAAACATAAAATAATACAAATAAATTGAAGAAAATACATATAAAACCTACACATCTAGGAAATATAAACATTTCTGAGAAAAATTAAAGACCTAAATAAATGGAGAGCTATATCATGTTCATTGATTGGAAGACTTAACATTGTTAAGATATCAATTGTCTCCAAATTCACCTATAAAAAGAATCTAGGTCAAATCTCAGGAGGCTTTTCTATTACAAAGAAGTGAATTCTAACATTTATAAAGAAATGCAAAGGTTCAGAATAGTCAAAACAATTTTGAGAAAGAAAAAATTTGAAGGACTTATTATACTATCTGAGGTCAAGAATTGCTATAGTAATCCAGATGATATTGCTGTAAGGATAGACACATTAAATAAACAGAACAGAATCTACACTAGACCAACATGTATGGTGCCAACTGATTTTTGACAAAACTGCAATATAATTCAAGTTGACAAGCCTGTAAGGTAATCCAATGATACAAAGATAGTCTTTTCAATAAATGACACAGAGACAACTTGATATCCATAAGGAAGAAATAACGAACCTAGACACTTATTTTATATATATGCACACAAAAATAACTCAAATGGGTCTCAGTCCAAAAGATAAAAGCTCACACTATAACCTTTAATAAGAAAATGTGAGAAAATCTCAATGCCCATGGGTAGGGAAAGACCTCTTAGACAGGAACACAAACCACTAACCATTAAAAAAAGAAACTGGTGAATTAGCCCTGATCAAAATTTAAAACTTCTGATATTCAAAAGACCATTAAGAAAACTGAAAATTAAGCCAGAAAGTGAGAAAAATACTTATAATGCCTATGTGGTAAGAAGAATTGCCCCCCAAAGACGTCTATACCCTAATCCATGGAACCTGTGAATATGTTACCTTACAAGGTAAAAAGGGACTTTGCAGATTTTATTAAATTGAGGATGTTGAGAAGGGGGGTATCCTGGATTGTCTTGGTGGGTCCAGTGTAATGGCAAGGGTCCTTATAAGAAGGAGGCAAGAGGGTCAGAGTCAGAAAGAGAGACTGGAAGATGCTACACCGCTGGCTTTGAAAATGGAGGAAGAAGCCATAAGCCAAAGACTGTGCATGGCCTCTCAGAAGCTCGAAAAAGCTAAGGGAATGATTCTCCAGAGCTTCCAAAAGGAACACAGTTCTGCTGACACCTTGGACCATTTCAGACTTCTGACCTCCAAAACTGTAAGGTAGTAAGTATGTGTTCTTTTAAGCCACTAAGTTTGTGGCAATTTGTTTCAGTGGCAATTAAAAAATTGTGTGTGTGTATAAAGACATATATATATGTTTACATACACAACAAAGAACTTGTACCCAGAATATGATTAAAAAATTACTGTATCTCAATTATAAAACAACGAGAAAAGGTGGCAAAAAGATTTGTACCCATATTTCACAACAGAATGTTGTACTGTATTTCACAACAGAATGGCCAATAAACATACTGAAAACATAACAAAAGTAGCCATCAGGAAAATGCTATTATTAAATCCATAATGAAATAACACTACCTATCTACAAGAATGACTAAGATTATAAATACTAACAAACATGAGTTGGTGGTAAGAACGTGAAGTAACTAAAACTCTTATGCAATACTGGTACATATGTAAAATGGCATATAACCATTTTTGAAAAAGATATTACTTAAGGGGAGAAATATGCCCCCCAAAATTTATAAATCAATGTTCTTAGCAGCTTTCTTCATAATACCCAAAATGAGAAACAATCCCAAATTATTTTCCATCCATGAATGGAAAAACAAATACAGCTGAGGCATATGATGAAACACTACTCAGCAATAAAAAGGAACAAACTACTGATAAATACAACAACATGGATGAATTTCAAAAATATGCCTAGCAAAAGAAGTGAAACACAGAAGTACATGAATTCCATTCTTATGAAATTCTACAACATGCAAAACTAACCAATAATGACAGAAAGCAGATCAGTGGTTGCCTGGGGCAGGCAGTCAATTCAGGAACAGACTGACCGCAAAGGCACACAAGACAGCTTTTGAAATGATGGGAAGTTTTTGTGTCTTAACTATGGTGGTGGTCACTCTGGAATATTCACTGGCAAAATTCATCAAACTATTCTACCTTTAAAGTAGGAGTATTTTATATAAATCATACCTCAAGGTTGACTGTAAAATAATAAAATGCCCACACCGAATTTAGCAGCCTGTAGGTTTCTCCCTAGCAGCTGAGTTCTCCCCAACTCATTTGTAATATGTATCTACTTGTGCTGTAGAACAGAAGAAACATGAGTCTGTAGGCAGCTTGGTAATACATCCAATGGCAGAAACAGCACATGCTTACCTGAGGTGCTACATAATAAGGGGTGAACTGGGGTGTCATCAAGTCACCTTGGTCAATTTTGGCAAACCCAAAGTCACATAGTTTTACTGGAGCATCCTGAAATAAAACAGATGGGAGTCATTGCTGCAGAGTTCTTGGTAAACATTAAAGGAAAATTCAGGTGCAAGACATGTTACTTTGCACTCTCATGAGTTTCTGGCTGAGACCTGAGCCTATGAGTAGCATGTCCTCAGGTCTGGAGATGATGATTCACATTGAGGAATTTGTTCTTAGTAACACAAAAATAAGGAATTTCTACCCACTCACAGTTAGCCTTGTTTCATAACTTGCAAAGGCAACACTAAATCAAGATCTTAGCCAAATGCCCCAACTCTATTGATTGGCCTGTTATCTCTCATCAGAATCCAGGGTGCTGCTTCACTCTTAACATCAGCTTCGTGATAGCCAGAGCAACTATTTGGTGGGACATGATGCAGGGGGCAGGGGATGGGGAAGAAAACATATCTTATCAGGGTTAACAATAAATACCACTATTAAGTTTCAAAGTAATATTTTATACCATATAGATTCCTGCCCCTTCCCAAAGTACTTCCAAACATTATCCAAAATCTTAGTCCTACAAATACATATCAGTATCACCCAAAATGATCAAGGCCAGGAAGATGGTACAATTTCTCTAAGCCTCCAGCAAGGGAACAAGTGGGAAACATAAACAGCTTGAAGCACTTGGTCCAAAGCCTCTTCACCGTGGATTCAGAGTGCTCCCAGCATATACACACCTATGCACCCATTCCTGAACTGTGTTGAAAGAGGCAGCACTAAAATGCTAAAAGCAAGTCAGCTCACCAAAGAGTTATCCTTGAAGAGCAGATTTTCAGGCTTGAGGTCTCTGTGAGCGATGTTTAACAAGTGACAGTGCTGTAGAGCCAAAGCTATCTGGAAAAGGACATAGTGGAGCAAATACATCTTAGAAAAGAGAACTCTTTAATGCTTCTAGTTTTGAGAACTCTGGATGTTAAAAAACAAAGCTTAATTAAGTCAGTTAAGACTATGGTTGGGTTTCATTTTTAAAACAGAAATTAAGTAAGACTTCGGGTACCAAGAAATAAAAATGAATTAAGCTTAGTTTAACTGCAACCTGTATTGTGTTAAACAAAAAGAAAAACAACAGTAAAACAATAGTTGTAGAATAAACTGATGGTTAAGTCCTGTATGAAATGGGGAAAGTGAAATGCTTCCACTTCATTCATTTGCTATGATGAGCACTGCGAAGTGAACACTGGGCCAGGCAGTCTCCAGCAGGCCTGGGTTTCCCCCAGCAGGGCGGCGGGCGCTACTGTCTGGCTCAGAAGCAAACTGCCCTCTCCAGGGAGCTCGACTTCAAGCTCTGCCTTCAAGACAAATGGAAAGCAGCTGACGATTTTTCCACCTGACGGGCCAATTTGTTCATCCCACTTATTGAAAATGTTTGTTTAGGTAGATTTGAATGGTTTTTGCGTTACAGATTATCAGAGCACATCCTTTAGTGCTAATATTTAAAAACGCAGGGTGTAATTTTTTTAAATTAGCACAAATTCTACCTGATCTTCAACTCTCAGTATGGAATTGTATTGGCATTCCAAGTATCAGTTCCTCCACCAGAAACAAGGCATTGAAAAATGCTTGAGGCTCATGTATAATTTGGAAAATTTTTTATTAAGAACCAACTAGGCTATGCTTTCTGCTTTTCTCTGCCTTGCTTGCCTGGCCTGAAGATAAGCCTGAGGGTTTTAGCTTTTCACTTCCTCAAGAGGTTATATGCAGTTGGAGTCCTAATATCGCTTGTGACATAAATCATTTTTCTAACAATAACATGTAATGTCAGAATAGAATATAACCAGGAATAACCCAGAATTACAAAGACCTTAGAATACTATTAAAATCTGATGAGAGAAAGGTGACTCACAAGCAAAAAGCATCTTATATGCAATTGTCTTAGAACACGTTTTTACACCATACAGTCTTTCAGGTGGTATCAGCACCATTTTATCTCAAAGTCCAACAGTGCCTGGAAGCTATGTCTAAAGATATCTACAGTCTACAAAGGAGTTACCTTCCTTCCAGTTTACTTAAATCTTATAATGGACAAACAATTGGCAATCACTTAAAAATACAGTCCACCCCCCACCAAAGCATAAAAGGGGTCACATTTATCCTGTCAAGGAATCTTTTCTGATTACATAACAAAGCAGGCAATGAGAGATCAAATAGGGCTTTTCTTCAAGCTTTCTTTTATTCCCCCCATTGAAATTGTGCTTGTTAACCAACAGTGTTGGCAGTTTGATTGGTACCCGGGGTTAACTTGCCTGCTTTGTTACTTGGCTGGCTTGCTTCTCTGTAAAGTGCCGGTGTTGGCTGATTCTGTGAAATAGCTCTCCCCCTTCCATCATCTCCATTACAATTAAGAGTCGAGCCCTGTTTGAAAGCATTTGATTTTGTTAAGTTAAAAAAATGAACTGAAACATCAAGTATCTAACCTAAAGATACCTCATCTACAAAGTGTGCGACTACCTCCTAAGCCTAGTCCTACCGAACCCCTTTGGGTCGGACCCCGTCTCACTTCCAACTGAACGCTATGGATAAATAACATCCTTGACCTAAAATTTGCTTAGAAGCTAAAAGAGTAGTAAAAGAATTAATTTTGAGCACAATGATCCTTTTGAAGATACTAGTTAATAATAGATTTTAAAAAGGGGAGATCTTCTAAGTAACATGTTTGGTATATGTATGTTAGGGCAGCTAGACTGAAAGTGTATTGCAAACAGAGTATCACTTTATGTAGGACATGACTTTCAAGTCATTTGCTGGGCATTGGCTGTCCTGGTTATTCATTCATTCATTCATTCATTCATTCATTTTGTGTGTGTGTGTGTATGTGTGTGTGTGTCTTTCTCTCCACTCCCATGTGTGAGTTGGGGGGGGTCTCTCTTTCTCTCCACTCCCACCTCCACACCACTAGTATTTCATGTGACCTACAGCATGCCCAGCAAGATAGCTGGACAAGGTTACACAGCTACCAAATAAAAGTAAAAATTCTCATGATGTCAAAAAATATCAGGATTGTGGTTACCATTCTTTGGTATAAATGCTTCTAGCTTCCAGCCAAATGCTTTCACCAACAGAGCATAGTTATAAGAAATAATCATTTGATTTCCCATTTGTTTTTACACACCCATCTTCTTTCTCCACCTGGAAAATTCCTACCCAACCCCTTAAAATACTAGCCCCCAAATAACCACTCTGTGAGAAACCTCCCTTCCCAGCTACAGTGAGTAGCTCTTCTCCTTTGTAAGCTTGAAATATTTTATGGATGCCTCTCCTTGGTACCTTTCACATTGCTATGATGATAGGTCTACATCTCAGTCCCCCCAACAGAAACCATAACTTACTTAATTTTGACTTTTCTGGAAGAGACTTAGAATGTCACCAAATAGCCTTGCCAAACACTTGGCAGCTAAAAAAATAATGCTGGTTTCTTCTTTTTAAAAGGAATGTCAGACTAAGCAATAGGGGCTTTTTTGCCACATTGACTTCTAAGACTGCCTAGTAATATTTGGTCCCCTTTCATTAATTTGAAATAGAATCTGTTTTAATTCCACATCTGATTCTTTTTTAAAAAGAGAAAGTAATCACAATAATCAGGGGTGCCAGGAGAGTGAATGAGGTATAAATGAACCAAGGTTGGTTATGAGCTGGTAACTGCTAAGAGTGGGTGTGGGTACTTGGGGACTTACTATATGATTCTGTATGCTTTTATAAATGTTTGAAATTTTCCAAAATAAAAAGTAAAGGAAGAGAGAGAAAGAGAAGGAGGAATCAATGGAGAGAAGGGGCAGGGATGGGAAGAGACAGAGAGAGAAAGGGTGCAAAAGAGAGGAAGACCCCACCACACCTTGGCCTACATAAGAGCATGTTATGATGACCCTGTGTAGTCTTACCTGGGGCTGGACTCATGAGGAAACTGTACACTGTTAGCAAACACTTCAATAATTTGAACTATATTTGGGTGTGTGGCACACATCATGTGCAGGCGTACCTTAAAGAGAACAGAGGAAATGTTTCTGTATGTAGGGGATGCCAATATTTTTTGTCTAAACTTACCCCCAAAAAAGACCACAGTAGGCACAAGCGATAAGTCTATTATAGTCAAAAACTTTATCACCTGGAATGTTATTTAAAAAAGTGTTTTCATACCCAGATTATCTCCTTAATGCTCTTTCCATAAAAACCTCAGGAAATTTACTTTCTACTATCCTATCTATTAGCAAATGAAAAATTTGGGAAATAATTCATTTTATTTGAGAAATTTTTCATACATCTCTAAGTAAAAGAGTCAGTCCTTTGTTGCATATGTCATTAACATGTCATCCATTGCCACATCCACATAATTTAAGACAAATGTGTATTTTTTAAAACTCAAAACACACCCCAGAGCCCTCCTGCAGTACACTTTCAGGACACTATTCACAAGACCCTTCCTCATACTATTTCATCATCTCTCTTCAAGGACCTTTCCCAATAAGCAAAAGCTAAAGTAAACCTGAATACTTCAGGGCACAAGAATCACATTAATTGAAAAAGAACAAGAGATGGTTGAAAGGTAACAAGACTCTACTGACAGCCTTTGGCACTGATAGATGCAGGACTGCTTTATAATGGTAACATGAAAATGGAAAAGAAGGTAAGTATGGGCATAAAATTCTTTGTACATCTCTGTATTCTCTCCAGGAAGCTTTCTTACTTATAAAAAGAATAATTGTTAGGTACTTCTAATATTTAGGCAAGTCAAGGTAATAGAGGGCCATACCTCATTTCTAGCTTTTGGACGATCAAAAAGAATTTTCAGTGCAAACCGTTCTTGGGTAGATATCTTCACACAGACTCTAGATTTGGAGGAAAAATTCAATCAGAAATCATCTATGTTACAGGGAAAATTCATTGAACAAGTTTGTTCTTTGAGAACTGTAACTTATCCCCAGGGTCACAGGTGGATAAGCAGAGAAGCATCTCCCCGACCCTTTGCAGAGCTCAGCTCTGAGCCCTGTGAAATCAACTTGAGACTGGCCAAGAAAGGAATGATGGCCTTTGCTGGCTACAGGTGATGCTCATAGTGGCTCCACAGTCTTGACATCTTAAATGATTGTTACAGACCATGTGACTTGGTCATTTAAATATGTTTCTAAATGGATGAGAAAAAGCGTAAGATAAGTAACTCTACTTATTAAAGTAAGGTGATTGCACAATCTGGTATACTTAATGCTTCTAATTTAAGATGTATTCCAAATGGCCCACTCCTTTCAGAACAATTTTGACACAGTTTGCACCTGGGTCTCTTACCTAACTGGACCACTAATTCCAGCTCCCAACTTCTGAGTCCAGTTGATGTTGTATTCCTCTAAAATGGAGGTTTCCTATTAAAATAAAAAAAGGGAAAGGGCAAAGAATGATTCTCCAATTAAAAAGCTGGATAATTACTCAGAGGTGGGACAACAAAAGACCTTATCATTCAACATCTCATCTTCTGAGAGAAGCTAATAAGCAGACCTTTGTGTTCTGTAGGGCTTTATAATTAGACATTTTGTTTAAATGACTAGATTAGGTACCATTTTCCAATAATCAGACAGCAAAAACTTCAGGATTAAAAGAAATTTTTCAGTTTCTCCACAAGAGCTATTTGAGTAGACACTAAATGTTTTTGTTTATGTTTTTGGGGTGTTGGGGGAAGATATTCTTTCACTACCAAATACTTATTTGCTAAAATGGTCAAGTATATTTTCTGAGATTCCCGAAAGACTGCTCTGATATATGCTGCTATAATAGAGGCCTATATCCTTAAGTTGATCAAATTGTTGGAATAACTGAGTAAACTGAGACTTAAAACTTGAAATAAAATAGCAAATTTCATAGTAAACTTATCTAATTCCCCAAAGCACCATTTTGAGTACAGAGATATTCTGCAACATTCTTTGTGTAACTATATTTTTTATAGTTTTCAATAGCTTTCAATAGTCCAAACAGAGCCCCTGCAATTTAATGAAAATGTTTATGAAATTCCTGTTCAGTCACTGTATGTTGAGCTTCTGTTGCCATATGTTTTTAGGCAAAAAAAAAAGCCCTTTAAATGGTGGTATGCTAACCTTCATTTTTTAGAGTTCCACAGGTAGAATGGGAAACCAGCTGCAGATCTTGAGAAATGAGGCCAAAATTCCTGAGACTTTCAAATTGCTTTGTTGCAGTGAAAACCTGAAAGACTATATTTAGCACTAGAATCTTGATTCCCAGTACATGGGAACAGGATATTTGTTCATGTAATACACACTCACTGAGCAGTTAATATGTGCCAGACATTAGGCTAAGCTCAGAGATGGAAACAGAACTTTTGCCTAATGAATATGCAAGTATATAAAACAAGCCAGAAAAGCATTCATCTCCACAGCTTTGTTGCCCAGTTCTTGATGAAGGTTCTAGTATAGTAAGTGATCAAAAGCTGTGGAATAAATAACTAGAAAGGTGACCTAAAACCAGATGATGGAGGGGTATTGATTGGGGAGGGACCAGCAAGATTATTACACAATCTCCCTTCTGAAAAACTGTCAGGTTAAGGAGATTGTCAAGGTCACACAGTAAGGTACAGGCACTAACAAAACTAGAAAACTGTGGCTTTGGCCTCTTCCGCAGCACCAACATGGCTATCCTGGGTAACTGCCCAGGCCTCAGCATGAAGATAAGGGACAAATCTTGCCCAAGAGCCTGGGAGGTCCCAGGGTTTGTCTCCATTCACCACCTCCTAAACAGAATACACACCTACCCATTTAACCTACTTCCTTCATGTTTCCACTGCACGGACTGTTGGCTTTACAAGTGTTTGAGAAGACAAAGAAGAAAACAGGATCGGAAAAGAGAAAGTTGGAGCACAGTCTGAGCTTCATGGTAGAGTAAAATCATTTGCCAAATCCCATTTTCTCCTCAACTCTGATGAAAACATACATTTATAGGAACCTCAATGTAAAAGAAATTTGTTCTATGGAGTTGTTACAATCAGATCAAGGGACTGTTGATATGCTCAGTTCCTGGGATGTGAAAATAGACCAAATTCTTCCCTGTACTGGTGCTTAAGATGGCACTCTACCTGACAGCCAGCCAAGACAATTCACCTGTAGAGGCTCTGACTTGGATTTTGACACTTCATTTTGCAGAAGGTAAGAGAAGCACCGCCAGGCCTCTCTAGAGCCTAGATTTCTGAACCCTGTTTTTCTTACACTTCTTGTCCTCTTCCCTAGGTTTAATTCTTGCACCTTTGTTGATGATGCCATCAACCCCAAGTAGACAAACACTCTCACAACCTGTTGAGTCTTCTCTACATAGATGGCATATTTCCTCACATATTTTAATGACAAAGGAGAAGGTAGGAAGGCATGGGTGAATTAAAACACTTTACTGATGAAAACTGTGGATCACTTCAGAGGCATCAATGACAAATACACTGACTGGGTTCTGCTAAAGAAATATATACACTGTATTAAATTAATAAGGATATAGATACATGGACTGAAGTAATTCTTGAGAATTCTTCTAGACCAAGTGTAGGCAAATTACAACCCACAGGCAAATCTATCCACTGCCTGTTTTTGTAAATAACAGTATTTACAAAATAATAAAATATGTATTTATGAAAAATAAAAAATTATAATAAAAAATAAAAATATTTACTTGATTAAAAAAATTCAACTACAGTGTGTTTATAAGAGACACACTTTGGATTCAAAGATGTGAACAGATTAAAAGTAAAAGGTTTTCAACAAACAATGCTGGAAAAACTGAATATCCACATGCAAAAGAATGAAGTTGGACCCTTAGTACCATACCCAAAAATTAGCTCAAAATGGATCAAAGACCTAAAACAATAAAACTTAGAAGAAAACATAAGGCAAGAGTTTAAAGCATTGGGTTCGGCAGAGATTTCTTGGATATGACACCAAAGGCGCATGCAACAGAAGAAAAAAGTAAACCAGAAGGACTTCATGAAGATTTTAAAAGTTTGTCCATCAAAAAACAGTATCAACAGAGTAAAACAGGCAACCTACAGAGTGGGAGAAAATACTTGCAAATCATATTATCTGATAAGGGATTAATATCCAGAGTATACAGAGAACTCCTAAAACTCAACAACAAAAACCCAGACAACCCCGTTCAAAAAATGGGCAAAGGACTCAAATTGACATTTCTTTAAAGATATACAAATGGCCAATAAGCCCACAAAAAGATGCTCAGCATCACTAATCACAAAGAAAATGCAAATCAGAATTCCAATGAGATACAACCTCACACCCATTAGGATGGCTACTATCAAAAAAACAGAAAATAACAAGTGTTGGTAAGGATGTGGAGAAATTGGAACCGTTAGGCATCATTGGTGGGAATGTACAATGGTACAGCTGCTATGGAAAACAGTATAGTGATTACTCAAAATATTAAAAATAGAATTAACATATGATCCAGCAATTCTACTACTAGGTATATACCCAAAAGAACTTAAAGCAGGGTCTTGAAGAGATATTTGTACACCCAGGTTTATAGACAGTGGCATTATTCATATAGCTAAAACATGGAAGGCACCAAAGTGTCCATATCCATATGATGGAATATTATTCAGCCTTAAAAAGGAAGGAAAATCTGCAGTGTGCTACAATATGGATGAACTGTGAGAAAATTATGCTAAGTAAAATAAGCCAGTTACAAAAAGACAACTACTATATTATTCCACTTACATGAGTTACACAGATTAGTCAAATCATACAAACAGAAAGAATTCTGGGGGGTAGGGGGAGGAGGGCAATGGGGTGTTACTGCTTAATGGGTACAGAGTTTCAGTTTTACAAGATGAAAAGAGTTATGGAAATGGATGGTGGTGATGGTAGCAAAAGATTATGAATGTACTTGATACCACTGAAGTGTACACTTAAAAATGACTAAGATAGTGAATTTTATGTTGAATAGATGAAGAAAAAGCATTTAACAAAAGTTTCGACAACACCTCTCAGTAAACAAGGAAAAAAAGGAAACTCAATTTGACATATGACAGCTATAAAATCTTATTGATAAGTCTTTAAATGCTTCCCCCAGATCAGGAACAATGCAAGATGTCTGCTTTTGCCACTTTCATTCAACACTGTACCTGAGGTTCTCCCCATGGAATAAGGCAAGAAAAAGAAATTTACATACAGTAAAGGAAGAAGTAAAACTGTATTTATTTGCTGAAGACATGATTTTTAACACACAGAAAAATCTTAAAGAACCTACCAAAAATATCTACTAGAATAAGCAAATGTAGTAAAGATGCAAAACACAAACACAAAATACAGAAATCAACTATTTCTACACCCTTCCATCAAACAATCCAAAAAATTAAATTTTAACAATTCTATTCTTAGTAACATCATAAAGAATATCTAGGAATAAATTTATCACAAGAAGTGTAAGACCTATACACTGAAAATTACAAACACATCACTAAGATTGACAGGAGAAACCCTAAAAAATCAGAGGGCTATACCATGTTTGCATATTACAGACATTATTTTTAAGATGGCAGCAGTCCCCAAAATGACCTTCAGAGTCAATGGAATCCCTGCCAAAATCCCACCATACTGTTTTGTAAAAATTCTAAAGTGTATTTGGAAATACAATGAACTTGAATAGCCAACATAATTTTGAAAAAGGATGATCAATTTGATTCTAACACTATCCAATTTGAAAACTTACCATAAAGCTTCAGTAAAAGTAAGTGTGATACTGGCTTAAGGATAGTCATACTGATCAGCGGAACAGAACAGAGAATCCAGAAATAAACTTGCACACTTACGATATACTGATTTTAAACAAAGGTACCAAAGTAATTCAGTGGGCAAAGGACAGTGTTTTGAACAGTGGTCCTGGAATAACTGGATGTCTGTATTAAAGGCAAACAAAACTTTAGACCTTTATGGCACACCAAACACAAGTTAACTCAAAATGAATACTAGACCTAAATGAAAGAACTAAAACTATAGAACTTCTATAATACAGGACCGTGTAACCTTAGAGGAGGCAGATTTCTCAGCTTTGGCACCATAAGTATGATCCATAAAAGAAAATAATTTGATAAACTGGACTTCATCAACATTATAACCTTTTGTTCTTCAAAAGGCACCATTAAAAAGATAAGCCATAAACTGGGAAGAAATATCTGCAGATCACATATCTGGTAAGTGTCTTTTATTCAGAGTTTATAAAGAACTCTTACACTCAATAGTAAGACAAATAATGCAATTTAAAAATGGGAAAAAAGATTTAAATAAACGCTTCACCAGAAAAGATACACAAATGGCAAATAAGCACATGAAAAGATGCCCAACATGAGTTATGAGGGAAATGCCAATCAAAGCCACTACATAACCTCTAGAATGGCTAAAATAGAAACACGGGCAATACCAAGTATTTGTGAAGGTTAAAAAAAAAATTGAATCCTCAACCACCACTGGTAGGAATGAATCACAGTAAAGCGAAAACTTTGTTTCTTAAAAAGTTAAACACAAACTTACCATACTACCCAGTAATTCCATAACTAGGTATTTACCCCAGAGAAATTCAAACATATGTTCACATAAAGACTTGTATAAACAAGTTGTATTTATAATTTTTCTTAGTAGATAAAAACTGGAAGCAACTTGAATGTCCATCAGTTGGGAGTGGGCAGACAGTAACAGGATTACTCAACAATAAAAAGGAATGAACTAATGCATGCACTAACATAATACCTCAAAGTATTATAAATAAAAGAAGCCAAACACCTAAGTCTATGTATTATACAATTTCATTAACTTGGAATTTCTAGAGAAGACAAAACTAGTGACAAAAAGCAGATCAGTGGTTGTCTGGAATGGGGAATGAGAGTAGAGGCTGACTACAAAGAGGCAGAAGGGACTTTCTAACGGGAATGGAAATACTCTTATACTGGATTGTGATGACAGTTGCACAACTCAACAATTTACTAAAAACTACTGAATTATACACTTATTCTGGGCAAACAGGGAAATGAATTTTCACTAAGTTAATCAGATATTAAGAACTCTGCCATATAGAAAAGACAAATAAGTAAGACAATTGCTAAACCCTAAAATACTCATTCTCAGGTTTAGCTATGTGCCTTGGGAACAGTGAAGTCATGTGAGAAGACAGAACCTATGGCTGTAGCCATTTGGCCTTATCTCAGTATCTCTAAGAGTAATTAGATGAGATTCTAAGTTCAATCAGCCTGCTTGCAGGTAGTCAGGCAGCAGCAGATAAAACGCTGTAGTTAGAACTCAGAAAAACAGCTTTTCCAGCTGAACTCTATTGGTCTCAGTTCTCACCATTGGAGGGACTAGAAAAGCGAAACAATGAATACAACACAATGCCACAGACCAAAATTTTATTTGATGTGATGCTGGCTTGCATCTGAGGGAATACATCCTAGTTGGTACTGGTTATCACATCAGATATTTTCACCACTAATTTGTATTGGTTGGACATACCAAAATTAGTATGAAGAATCCCTAATGACCTGTTAAATATCTAAAGAAAAGCTAAAAAATTTTAAGAAAATTAGGTTGGGCAATAGTGAACAAGTGAAGAAAAACACCACTCTTTCCAAACTACTCTTAAGTTGTTATGAGCTAACATTCATCAAGCTCTTACTTGTTAGTATTATTATTAAGTCCTCAAAAAACCCTATGAGCGGGGAGTGTTTTTAAGCCCTTCAGGAAACTAAGGGACAAAGAAGTGAAGGGCCTTATCAAGGGCACAGCTAATGAATGGCAAGGCTGGGATTTCAACCCATGCCACCTACAAAAACTATTATAACCACTAAGTAACATTGCCTCCCCATTTATATATTTGCCCACTAGAACTATGTCCCTCTTCTGTTCCAAATTCTCCCAGAGTCCCCCTTCCACTACTACTCAAAGTTCATATAATGGTCTTAAGTCTGAATGTGTTTTCACTTCCCAATACCTTTGTAACATAATCCACACCCACCGAACACATTCCAGCCATCTTGCAGTTCCTGGACTATATACAAGACCTGCACCTATCTCAGAGCTTTTGTACCTGTTCCCATTGCCTATAAAATGCTTCTCTGACATATATGCTCTCTTCAGAACTCTATACAGATATCACCTCCCCAGAGAGCTCTTCCTAAATAATACTTCCCACACTTTCTATACTTAATTATAAATACCTGGCAATGTTTATTACTTAATTCCACCATCTAGAATGTAAACTCCATAAATGCAGGGACATCTAGGAGTCTGGCTTTGCACCACTAGTGCCTAAGACAATAAACCCCTAGCACAAAGCAGACATTATTTGTTTAATTTAATAATCTCCTCCCCCCTCCAAAAAAAAGATCTTACTCTAAAATTAAAAAAAAAAAAGAATCAGCCACATATGGTTTGATTCACAACCCAGTCATGTAACTTTAGGCAAAATTCATAATATTGTAACAATAAAACGCAAGCCTAAAGAAAAAAATAGATATATTGAAGCAGTCTTTTAGAAACTTTATTACTATTATTTAATATTTGATATTCCTTAATGTATGTTTTCTTTTGATGCATCCTTTAAAAGGTGAATTTCCTTTGGAATGACTGATGATTCTATAAATTTTACCACCCCAAAAATTATTATAAGTGTAAGTTCTTAACTAGTTGCTGGTATTAGTGACTGTGGCTTAAAGGGGAAAATAACCCAAGTTGCCAATGGATGCCTGTCCCTCAAGGGAAAGTGAAATTCTTAAATGTATTGAGCTGATTTAACATTGTAAAATAAGTAAATAATACTTATCAAACTTTAAGTGTTCAATATACCTAAGACTTTTCAATTTCCTAACTATAGACAGATCGTAATTTTCTGATTCCTGTGCTTCAAAGTTTGTCTGCCTAAAAAAAAAAATGTAAAAACAGGTTTTTTTTAAACTTATCATTTTATTTGGGTCATTTTTGAACACATTGCTTTCATTTCATTAACAAAGCAGTAAGTCACAGGACACCATGGGCTCCTCCTAAAAATGCTCCCTAAGAGACAAAGGAGGAAAAAAGGAGAGGGGAACACACGTTAAAGTAAGAACAACCTACTTGCCAAAGGACAAGTTTTCTAAGGCGAACCACCTCTTTTAGACACTGCAGATTTCCAAGAGGTTGGTTTCAAACAAATCGGAATGGATGGGTAAAGTCCAGCTCTCCAAGTGCTGTAGCAGCAGATGATCCGGAAGCAAACGCTGGCGGCACTTGGGGAAGGCTTAAGTAGCGTAGTAGGGCCCCCTCCGTCCCACTCACATCAAGTATCTCCACGGCACTCACCTTCCCTTTTAGCTGAGCACAAATCACATCCCCTCTTTATGCAGTTAAGGAGAGAGTCGGACATCCCTCCCTTCACACACATAAACCCTTCACCCAGGGCGGTAAAACACAGTCCACGGAATCCAGGAAGACCAAACCGGAGAGTCGCTGGAATCTCTCACTCCAAGTTCTCTCCGCTTTCCGAGGCTGGAGCCGACAGAAATGCCACAGGGACAAAGCGGGGAGGAAGGGGGCATTTCCCCCTTACCTTGATGGCTTTCTCCATGTCGCTCTCCTCCGACATGCTCCGCGGACACCCTACGGTCGGGAGAGTCGGAGGCTGCGCAGCTACCCGGTCCCACCGCAGCCGAGGGAGCAAGGGGCTCGGCGATCGGGCCCCTGGGCCTCGGGGAGACGGGCAGCAGCCACCCCCGGGGACCGGCGGAGTTGAGGGCGCCGGCTCAGCTTCGGCGGGCGGCTCTAGGCTGGCGACGGCGGCTGCGGCGGCCCCCGGGGACAAGCATGTGTGCTGGGCCCCGCGCGGCCGCCTCCCGGCCTCATCCCCGGCCGGGGAGGCAGGTTCCTGGGGCAGGGCGAAGCAGGGAGGGCCCCGGTTCGGGGCGCTGTGCAGGGGCCTGGCGGGACCGCCGCTTAGGCCCTGGCCCTCCAGGTCCTGACGAGTCTGCGCCTCCGTCTCCGCCGCCGGCACCGCAGCGAAGTCGAGGCCGAGCCAGCCACCGCCGCTGCTCCCGCTGCCGCTTCAGCGCCACACATCGCCGGGACCCCAGCGCCGGGCAGCTGCGCCGGCCGCCCGCCTGCCGGCGCTGTACCCAGCCCGAGCTCCGGACCGCCCCTCCTGCCGCCCGACTCCATGCCCCCACGGCTCCACGCGCCCCTCGCCGCCGTCCGCAAGGGTTTCCGAACTGCCCCCCAAACCACGCGGCGGCTTGGCAGGCATCCGCCAGGGCCTCCCCAAAATGCGCCCTCCCCAGGTCAGGCCCCCGGGCCCTCAGCAGCTGGCGCCGCGCTGATGACGTATGGGTCGGGCCCTGACGGGGCGGGGCCACTGGAGATCGCCGCGGTACGGGAGGAGCGGTTCGTGGCCGCTGTCCCGTTCTCTCAGCGCGTCGGGGGCATTTGTGCCGCCAGACACACCCTGTGGAAAGGAGCGGGGGATGTCGACTCGTAATAGAGAAGAAGAATCTGCGACCCCGGGCGGGTCCTGCGGTAAGAAAACAGAATTGTGTATAATAACAGCAGTAATAGTTGTATGTACAGGGCGTTCATTTTACGTGAAGTTCTTTTCCTCCGTTAGTCTCTTTCCTTACAAAGCAGGCATTTGGCTCTGTGAGTTGTTTGTACCCCGCGTTTACGTTGTTAACTAAGGCTCCGAAAGCCGAACTCACTTGCGCTTAGCTACAAAATGATCAAGTCAGACAGATGCCAGGTTTGTGCTCCTCACACTACAACAAGCTATTGAATGACCTTGCAGAAGCATTTGGCTTGTCATTTCTTGATGGTTCTTTGTTCATTCACTTAATTTACTGAGCACCACTGTGTGCCAGCCCTACTCGACAATGGGGAAACAGTTGGAACAAGACACAGCCCCTGTCCTGGATCTTACTTTTAGGAAAGGGGGAAAGGGAAGCAGAAAATAAAGAGGGAAAACACAGTTTGTAGATGCTGAGAAGAAAGTGAACAGGATGCTGGGATGAGACAATAAATGGATGTGGGGACCTTTTCCTATTAGATGATCAAGGAAGGTCTCTCAGGAGGTAACATTGAAGCCGGAGACCTCTGAGTCTGTTGGAAATCTGAGGAGTAGACTTCTGGGCAGATGGAACAACAAAAGTCTTGAGGTAGAAATAAGCTAAGTGTGTTGAAGGAGCACAAGCTGGAAAGGAGGAGATTGGAGAGTGGGCAGGGGCTGTGTCATATACACCCCTTGGGGTCATGGGAAGGACTTTGGATTTTATTCTAAGCCATTGGAAGCTTCTAAACTGAAGAGCGATGTGATCAAATGTGTTTTAAAAGATCACTGCTGTACAGGGGATCAAATGTGGGTAGGCAAGTTGGAATAATCCAGATGAGTGATATTTTGATGCTTGACCTAAGGAGGTGACAGTAAATTTAGGATAAGATGAATCTGTGATATATTTTTGTGGTATAGTTGACAGGTTTCCTGAAGGATTTGATGGGAAGGTGAGAATAAGAAACAAATCAAGAATAACTCCCAGGTGTCTGGCTTGAGCAAGGGGGTGGATAATGGTACCATTCAGTGCATGAAAGACTTGATAAGAATAAGGGTGGGGAAATCCCTACCTGGGATTTCTATCTAGGTTAATCTGAGATTCCTGTGTGATATACTGGGGGGTAAGTCACGTGGGTAATTGGATGTATATTGTGGTGTAGATGCGGTTGTCCTCTTTGTTGGCTATATTGCTGCAGTACATTCCTCAGCCCCCTTAAAGTAGATGTGGCCATGTGCCTATGCTCTCCCAAAGGAAAGTGAGCAGAAGAGATGTGCACAAGTTTCCAGGCAGGGCCCAGAAATTCCATCAACAGGTGCTCTTAATTACTCTGCCATCTGGAAGATGATGATCAGGTTCTGGAAAGGCAAGGCCTCAAGATGGAAGGAAGGTTCCTGAGTGGAGGAAACTCTGCCCCATCGACCTAAACATCTATCCAGAACTGTTATATGGGGGGAAAAAAATAAACCTCTATTCTGTTGAGCTTTTAGGTACTTGAGTCTTTTTGTTACAGCAGCTCCGTCTGTGCTACCTAATACATGTAAGAACAGTGCCCCAGCAATGCACTGTGGGAGAACATTTCTAAATGCCTTGAACTGACATTATCCGTAACAATTAGCAAGTAGGTGTCTTGGATTGATTCATTCATTCTTATATGCATTTACTCAGTAAGAATTTACCAAGTGCCTCTCTGTGCCAGGCACTGTGCTCCATAACAGATGCAGGGATGAAGAAGAGACAAGGTGTTTGCTCTTGAACCCTCTCAGTCTGGCAGCTCATCCATCTACACACGATTTCCCTTTATCTAGACAGTTATTCTTCCCTCCCAACACACAGTCTAATTTCTACATTTTCTTCAACCATATTCTAAATACCATTTTATCAGAAAGGCAAGCCACAGTCTAAATCAGATATTCCTATTATCTCATAACTTACTTCCTAATACTTACTACAAATTTTATTTATATATATATATTCAAAATGAATATTTTATTCTCCAGTGTCCTCTCCCTGACTAGACTATAAATAATGTCAACAAGGGGAAGAATCTTTTCTGTATTATTGGTCACAGTCTCAACATTCAGCCTACTGCAACTGCTTAATAAATATTTGTTAAGGAATCAATAAATGGAGAGGGCAGAGCCCTGAGGAAGGAGAGATTTCTTCCATTTTTAGCTGGGGAGGTGGCTGTGGTAGGTAGCCTCTAAGGTAGCCTTCAGTGATGCCCACCTCCTGGTATTTGTGATTCTGTGTAATCCTCTCCATGCTGCTTGTGGGCTGATCTGGTGACTTGCCTCTAATGATGAGATGTCATGTCTAAGATGAGATGGCCTCCATCTCAGGTGCCCTCTCTTGCTTTCTTCCTCACGTGCTCTAAGGGAGGCAAACTCAAATGTGAGCTGCTTAGTTTACTGGGGCTGCCATAACAAATTACCACCAACTGGGGGGCTTAAAGCAACAGAAATTTGTTCTCTCATAGTTCTGGAAACTAGAAATCTAAAATACAGTGTCGGCAAGGCCATCCTTCCTCCGAGGGCCCTAGGAAGGACTCCTTCCTTGCCTCTTCAAGCTTTGGTGGCTCCTGACAGCCTTAACCTGTCGGTACATTACTCCAATATCTGCCTCCATCTTCACATGGCCTCCTTCTCTGTGTGTCTCTCTCCATGTCCTCTTATGTTGACACCAGTATTGGATGTCACCAGTTTAGGCTGATCCTAATTCAGTATGATCTTAATTATATCTGCAAAGACCTATTTCCAAATAAGGTCACATTCTAAGGCTTCACATGGACACGAATTTGGGGGGATACCAATCAGGTCACTAGAGTTGCCCAGTACAGTTGTGCAAATGTCAAGGAACTAATGTTGGCCAGTGAGATGGCCAGTGAGAACCTGAGGCCTGCCAGTGGCCACATGGGTGAGCTTAGAATGGATCCTCTCCCAGTTGAGCCTTGAGATGTTTGCATCCTTGACCGACAGTTTGATTGCAGCCTTTGGTACCAGAGGCGCCCAGCTAAGCTGTGTGCAAATTCCTGACCCACAGAAACTGTGAGATAATTGTTGTTTTTAAACACTAAATCTTTTTTTGGTATCATTAATCTACAATTACATGAGCAATATTATGTTTACTAGACTCCCCCCATCGTCAGGTCCCCCCCACATACCCCATTACAGTCACTGTCCACCAGCGTAGTAAGAAGCTGTAGAATCACTACATCTTTTCTGTGTTGTGCAGCCCTCCCCGTGCCACCTCCCTACATTATGTCTGCTAATAGTAATGCCCCTTTTTTTTCCCCCTTATCCCCCCCTACCCACCCATCCTCCCCAGTCCCTTTCCCTTTGGTAACTGTTAGTCCATTCTTGGGTTCTGTGAGTCTGCTGCTGTTTTGTTCCTTCAGTTTTTTTCTTTGTTCTTATACTCCACAGATGAGTGAAATCATTTGATACTTGTCTTTCTCCGCCTACCTTATTTCACTGAGCATAATACCCTCTAGCTCCATCCATGTTGTTGCAAATGGTAGGATTTGTTTTCTTCTTATGGCTGAGTAATATTTCATTGTGTATATGTACCACATCTTCTTTATCCATTCATCTACTGATGGACACTTAGGTTGCTTCCATTTCTTGGCTATTGTAAGTAGTGCTGCGATAGTCATAGGGGTGCATATGTCTTTTTCAAACTGGGCTGCTGCATTCTTAGGGTAAATTCCTAGGAGTGGAATTCCTGGGTCAAATGGTATTTCTAAAACACTAAATTTTTAAAGTAATTTGTCATGCAGCATAGACAACTAATACGGATTTTGGTGCCTGGAAATGGGATGCTGTCATAACAACTAGCTAAAATGTGGGAGTGATTTGGAACCATGCAGTGGACAGAAGGTGGAAGGATTTGGAGGAGTGTGTTAAAGAAAGCCTAAGTTATCCTGAACAAACTTAGTAGAAATACAGACTCTGAAGCTGCTGTCAGTGAGGGCTCAGAGGGAGATGAGGAGCATGTTGCTAGAAACTGGAGGAAAGAGCATCTCTGTTAGGAAAGTTTGGCTCAAAGTTTGGCACACTGTCATGTACAATTATGTGGAAAGAGAAAAATGTTCCTAATGGTGACCTGAGAAGGCACTTTCTAAGCAGGTGCTGCATGCTTTCTTCTTAAACTGGTTGCCAATGTGAGAAGAAAGATTGATTACTAAACAATAAGCAACCAGAGCTTGATGGTTTTCAATTTTTTTTAGTCTCTCTAGATGTCAACCAGTGCTATATGAAGCAGTGGCTTTCAAACAACAATCAAACCCAAGACCCTACAAGGAAAAATGTGGTCTGTCTTAGCTCAGGCTGCTAGAAGAAACTACTTGGCCCCCTAAATTTCATGTTCTTCTCACATGTAAA